TTCTCTAGATCCAAAGAAAATATGTATAAGTCTTCCCTATGACAGCGCTCCAAACTCATAGAAGGTTATTATGGTCCCACTTCTTTTTCTCAAGGCTAAAAAGCCACAGTTTCTTCTGAGGAACCTCATATGACGTGGCATTATCTCCCCCAATTGAATGTAAGCTTCTTAAGGGCTAGGATCATTTCATTTTTGTCTTTCTAATGTCATCCTTGCCACAAGTCCTTTCCCCAAGGCAGAAGAAATGATGTGAACAAAGGTGTGGAGATGAAATTAAGTAGGATGTATTCAACTAATAGTGGTTAGCCTAATTTGGCTAGAGGAGAGAATTTGGAAAGCAATGAGAGATCTGACTGAAAAAGAAAAGTTGGGACCAGATAATATAGGTCTTTGACTGCTAGGCAAATGAGTCTGAAACATACTTGGCATACAATATTAAGTCACTGGGGAAAAAAAAAGCAAAGGACTAATTAGTGTGGTATATTATTCTGGTAGTCAGTCAATAACCATGTATTAAGCACCTACCATGTGCCAGGTACTGTACTAAACAACATGGATACAAAGAATGGCAAAAGACAGTTCCTTCTCTCACTAAGTTCAGACTCTATGAAGGATGAATTGGAGTGTCTTGAGAGAGTAGAGATGTGAAGACATAATGGAATCTGTTGCTATAATCTAGGTGGATAATAGTGAAAGGTCTGTACTAGAATGCTGGCAATGGAAACAGAAAGGAAAGAATCAACGACAAGAAAGATTGCAGATATTTGGGCAGGATTTGATAATTATACCTAGAAGATGAAGGAAAATGAAGTAAAAGACAATAGTGAGGTTTCAAATGTGGGAAATGGGGTGAATGGTATGTCAATCAAGGTACCATATACAGAAAATGAGAAATCAGGAGAGTATGTTTAGAGGGAAAGATGATTTCAGTTGTAGACATATTAAATGAGACAATAATTGTGAATTTTTTAGCTTTAAAGAGAGAAGAGATTTAATAGCCTCTGGGAGTATATATAAGGTTAATTTTATAGATACAATTGTTTTGTTTTTACCCTTCTACTTAGTACAGAATGAGGCAATATGATATAATAGGACACTGGCATTAGCATCAGAGGACCTACGAACAGTAAACTCCTTGAGGGTAGTGTTCATCTCATTTTTTTTGTCTGTATCCCTAACACCTATCACAGTGATTGGTGCATAATAAATGTTTTTTAATTAACTGACCTGGGTTTAGAATCTATCTCTCTGGAGTACTGATGTGACCTTGGGAAGCAATTTAACCTCTCTGGGCCTGTTTCCTTATCACTAAAATGAAATGTTTAGACTATACTTTCTCTAAGATCTTTCTTCAGTTCTAATTTTTATGATCAAAGAGTAAATGGGTTTGAATTTAAGTTTAAGGTATATGCTTAAAATACTTGGCTGAGTATGCTTAACATTAGAATGGGTTCTACAAGGAAGTAAAGCAGACAGGGAATTTTGTTGAAGAGTTTGTTTATATAAAGACAGGTTGAATAACAGGTCTCTTAATTTAAGACATGAAGCAAGCTTTATCTGAAGCTAGCCTCAGGAATTCCCTTGTCTATCCTTAAGTGTTGAGTAAATTCTAAACCACTGGGTGATGCCTGTTGTGCAAGACTCAACTGCTGGGTTGGTTCCCAGAAAATAAAGTTAAATTCTTTGTAAAAAGTACAGCCATGACCTAGCTCAGTGACACTTTTACTCAGAACAAACCCATAATTATGCTTTAAGATGCCCCTAGAATTGGTTCCCTCGATAGGGATATTGTTGGGGTTTTCCCTGAGTGTTAGAAATAGAAGCTCCCCATTCACTTATCTTTTCTCCTGTTTTAATACATTTTTTTTTGCTACTATGTTGTGACTTTTTGCCATGGTGTTCCCTCCCCATAGCCCCCAAACTCAGACTGTTTACAATCAAAATGAAGTTTTCAAATCACCTTCTCTAGGATTTTTGAAAAACAGGATTCATTCTTATATGTCTAGAATGGTGAAGTATGGTTTTATCTTAGAGGAGAAGACAGATGAATGGTAAAGTGGAAACAGAATCTGCTGGAGTCAAGAGAGCTTGATTCTATTGCTGGTATGTCACTAACTTTCTAACTTTAGACAAGTGCTTTTCCCTCTTGGGGGGTATCTCACTTTTCTAATCTGTAAAATAATTTGGCTTGACTAAATCATAACTAAAATTCCTTCTAATTCTAAACTTCTATGATTCTTCCAATTCGATGAACTTTTCATCTTTTTTATTCAAGTTCTGGTACTTCTTATCCAAGTAACAGTTAAGAATGAAGACTGTTTTCAAAGATATGTCTAACCCACAATCTCTTTTGGTCCTCACAACAATTCTGGGAGATAGGTGCTATTATGACCCTCATTTTACAGTTGAAACTGAGGCAAATAGATTTAAGTGACTTGATCAAGGTCACATAGCTAGTAAACATATGAGATGAAATTTGAACTTAGGTTTTCCTGACTCCCAGCCTCTGTCCACTACACCACCTAGGAAAGAATCTGATTTTCTACAAATTTTCTGCTTGATTACATTTATACAACTGTACTCTGGGTCTGTAGTCAGTTTGTTTTATTTTTTTTTTCCTCTCAAATTCCCCTGGCTTCAGTAGCATTAAGTTCAGAAAACTGCTATGCAAAAACTAAATAGGTAGACACTACATTGCCACGTTTTAAGTTGAAGTAAAGTGAGCTGAGTGCTTACAGTGAACTCCACTGAACACCTACACTCATGCTTCTCCAAAATGTGGATGTGACCCTAGGATCTGGAAAGTGCATGATCTGACAGGCCGTACCAAGCTAGAAATGCTTTGAGGGAGTACTTGGGTTGTCTGAGGACCAGACTAGTTAAGTTCAAGAAGGTTCATCACAAGGATGATCATAGCATGATCATTTTTTCAGCCACAGTAGCTGTCAAAGTATATCTACTAAAGTATAGAGTGTTTGTTTTCTAGTGGAGAGAGTACTCAAATTGATGAAATTACATATCTGTAAAAAATGGAAAATATTTTTTTTATATTTTGTTTTTAAAAATTTCCCCCTATATTTCTTAAAAGTCAGCTATACTGGTACCATAATGGAAATATTTCAATTGATTCAACTAAAAATAGTTAATAGCTAACATTTCTATAGCACTTTAAGGTTTGCAAAATGCTTCACACATCTCACAACAAAACCTGGAGGTAGGTATTATTATTATTGTCTTTACAGATGTAAAGATGGGAAACTGAGGCTCAACAAAGAAAAAGTTATTTGGCCAGGGTCACACAGCAAGTAACTATATGAGACAGGGGTGGGGAACCTTTGACCTTGAGACCACATGTGGCCCTCTAGGTCCTCAAGTGCGGCCCTTTGACTGAATCCAAACCTCACAGAACAAATCCCCTTAATAAAAGGATTTGTCTATAAAATTTGGATTCAGTCAAAAGGCTTTACCTGAGGACCTGGAAGGCCACATGTGGCCTTGAGACCGAAGGTTCTCCACCCCTGAGGGATGATCTGAAAGTAGGTCTTCCTGACTTCAAATTCAACACTCTATTTACTGCACCATACTTCCTCAGATTTGGAATAGCAAGAACTTCATTTTTTTCTACATTGCAACTGACTTTACTTGATACACAGGAAATCAAAGTCAAAGTCAGCTAGAAATATGCCACTTTCTCCTATGAAACCTTTCTTAGTTATACCAAAAACTAAAAAGCTTTCCCTTCTCTGACTTCCTACAGTATTTTGGTTGTACCATGCTTACGACATTTATTTCAGCTTGATTTATAATATATTGATGAATGTAGTTCCTCTACTGAATTGGAAGTTCCATGGCAGCAGGGACAGTTTTATATATCTTTGTATAATCCACACACAATTCCTTATTTGCAGTAGAATTACAGGATATTAGAGCTGGGAGAGACCTGAGAAGTCAACTCAAAAGGTCTCCTTTTAATATAAGTAAACTGAGGTCTGAAGAGGTGCAAGTCAAATAGTAGCAAGGCTGGAAGCAGAACCCAGGTTTGCCAACCTCCAGATAAATGCTAATTCTGGCACACTACATTGTCTCATAATGGAATCTCAATACCTATTTCTTGAATGACTGAAATGTTGATAATAAATGAATGACAGTTAAAACAGAACAAATTTAGCTATCCTTTTAGACAAGATACAGAGATGTGGTCTAGGCAATAAACTGTATCATTAGGTACTTTCTAAACTGATTTAAGGACCACACTCAAAAAAGCTATTAATTAAGGGGCTGATTTCAAATGTGAGGCAAGTCTATGGTAGAATGTCCTGAGATCAACTCTTGACCCTGTGCTGCTCAACATTTTTTGGAATGTCTTCGATAAAGGCAAAGATAGCACGCTCTTCAAGTTTCTTAATGATAGCTAGACTATGGATGGCAGTCAGTATCTAGTCTACAGTATATAATATTCATAATATATGGTATTACATATAATACCTATATAGATCTATATAGGATATATATAGATGTTTCTATCGATATAGAATATATCTATAGATGTTTCCATATCTATAGTTATTTCCCAAACAATTAGAACGTTGGGCTGAATCTATTAAGATGCCATTTAATTCAAACAAACGTTAAGTTTACTGCTGGGTTCAAAACATCAATTTCCCAAATAAAAGATAGGGAGTTTATGGTGAAACAATACCTTTGTTTTGAAAAAGATTACTTTCCAGACGGGTAGTTATAAAGGACTGTAGGTTCACTGTGTGTTTCATTGACTCTGTGCGCTCTGCATGTTGACTCAATGCACTCTGCATTAGTCAGACCACACGTAGAATATTCATTTTAAAATGGTGCCAACCTGCCCACTGTAGGGCTCAGGCAAACTACCACCAGCACTTAGTGCCCGGCACACAGTAGGCGTTTTGTTTCACCGACTTTCTGGTCTGAGCTAACTTGACACATGTGGAAACTGAGGCCCACGTGAGGCTATAAAAACCACTCACCAGCGCTTACAGGTTCTAGAACCAGGACTAGAACCCTGGGAACACCGCCTGCTCCGCGGCGTCCCGGGAATGGCGGTCAAGGCCCACTACCCTCTATCCTAGGCACTCAAGAAGCCGGTCACGCCCGGGCAGCACTGGGACCACGCCCGCTCCTGCAGCCGCACCTTCACACACCTGAGGGGCGGGGTATAGGCAGGTGCACGCGCCCGACCTCGCTCACGTCTCATCCAGCCTCGCTCTCAGATTCTATCCCTTCCCCGCCCCCTAGACTCTTAGCCTCGTTCTGGCTACTGCCGCCCCCCTACGTAATCCCTCTTCCCTCCCCCTCACGTCCCAGCCTCTCAGGTGAACCCTACCTCCCCTACCCCCCTCCCCAGCCCTGGCTAGTTCTCGGGCTCTTTCTCCAGGTTTATTTTCTTGCCCCACCCTCGCTTTAAGATAAGGCCACGCCTGGAGTTGGGGTCCGTGAGAGTGTGTATGTTGGGGGAAGGGGGTGGGGTCCAGGGGCTCTCGTTCCTAAGCCGGAAGTGCCGCAGCATCTTCGGACGCACTGCGCAGCTGCGGTGCGGGCCAGTCCGCATCCCCCAGTCCAGCCGAGCCCAGTGCGCATGCTCGTGCAGCTTCCCCAGGAAGCTTGCCTTGCGGAGTCTGCAGGTTGAAGGTTGTCCTGCCGCGCGTCCTGGGGCTGTAAGTACGGGCTGTCTGTAGGTCAGTAACGGGGAACCGCCGCGAGCCCAAGCAGCGTGGGGCTGCTGTGTGTGTGTGTGAGTCATGAGGACCGTGGCACCAGCTGAGGGCATCGTTATCAGCTGTGGGCTTAACCCGGTCACTGCTTCCTGGGAGTGTTTAATTTTTAGGGCTTGACGCTAATGACAGCGACAGGGACGGTAGCCAGCGCCGCCCCAGCAGGGCACCGGGGTCGCAGTCATTGAAGGAGCTTAAGAGTAATAAGCGAAGTGCCTACCGTTTGAGGACAGTTGAACCAGCCTCTAGTGAGATGACTTTAACCACCCACAAGGACAAGTGCTAAGAGCTTTGGTGGCACTAAGGCCGAGGGACGGGTTCAAGTTCAAGGCTGGGCTACCTTAGCCCTGACCTAAGGATCAGCACCCTTAAGAATAGCACCAGTGATCATATATTATCTAATAATAATGTATCTATAATATAACATAATGTTTGTAATGTTCCATATTGTGTAATACCTATGTGGATGTGTGTAGAACTATAGATAAATATGCATAGATATAGATCTATATGTACATATACATAGATCTGTGTCTACATACATAGATATAAACCTGCCTATATCTGTACAGATATCTACAAAATCCGTTGAGCTATATATGTGTGCACATATGTATGTGTATATATGTATATACATATGTATCTATGTGTATGCATATATATTTGGGGGGAATCTGTAAGACCAGGCATACCTTAAGAATGATAAAAAGGAGGGGAAGGGGAAGGAAACTGAGATAGACATTGATCCCTTGATACTTTAGGAAAAGGAAAAAGGCAGTAGGACCATTTAGGGGGCAGGTAGGGACGACAAATCACTGTGCCATTTGTAGTTAGGTAAACTCTGTTACAAATTAACACTAAGGGCATCTTTACATAAAGAACGGGAAGTATAAACATTAAGTATGTTAGGAAATAACAGTGCTGGGGAGCAAGAAGTGGGATGGGATGTGAGAAGAAGGGCATGGCATTATAGAGCCTAAGGAAAGAATAGGGGTTATGACTTGGTCTCCAGCCTGAGCCCTTCAAAAAGTGCCAAGTGCCATGTTGATGGCTGAAGGAAGAAGAGGGTTATAGTATCTATACTGATTTAATCAAGATGTGTGTTGTAGTACTATGTAGATACACAATTCTATACATATAAAATAAGAAAGATTTCCCTATTGGCTGTTCTCCTTTTAAAGAAATATAATAGAAAGGCCATAGATAGAGTTGAAAAGACTTGTGTTCAAGTTCCAGAACTTCCACTCACTTGCTGGGTGATGTTGAGCAAGTCAATTCACCTCTTTGGGTCTCAGTTTTCTCATTTGTAATATGGAGATAATAACCTGCCTCACAGGTTTTATGTGACGATCAAATGAGAACAATGTATGTAAAGCACTTTACAAAACTTTAATCCCTATGAGCTATTCTCTTGAGCTATTTAATCCATATGATGAGGCTGCTTTATAAACCAGTGATTTCATTGGACTGAAATTTAGTAAGTATAAGCTATTACGTAGTTAGGTGGTACAGTGAGTAAAGCACTGGGCTTAGAATCAGGAAGACTTATCTTCCTGACTTCAAATCCCGCCTCTGACACTTACTAGCTGTGTGCCCTGGGCAAATCACTTAATCCTGTTTGCCTCAGTTCCTTATCTATAAAAAATGATCTGGAGAAGGATATGGCAAACCACTCCAGTATCTCTCCCAAGAAACCCCCCCCAAAAAAAAGGGGTCACAGGGTGGGATACAACTGAAATGACCAAATAACAACAAGATATAACTTTTGATTTACAGAGCACTTTCACTTATTTTATCTCATTTGATCTATACATGAACCCTCTGAGGTCCATATTAGAAGTATTCTTATCTTGTCTTCATGTCACAGATGAGAAAGCACTCAGTGAAGTTAAAATGGCTTGGTTAGTAAGTGAAAAAGCTGCATCCTGGCTCCAGGTGCTTGGTAAGGTAGTTCATATCTTGTGGCAAGATATGAACAATCTTGTCAGTTTTAAAGATATTTCCTAAGCTAACTACCTGTAATGAAAAAAAAAAGGATCCTAAGGCTCTTCTTTAGTTAATACTTAACTCTTCCTATGTAAAACACTGCACAAATTTTTATATGGAAAATAAGGCATTACTTCATTGGTTATATTATTTGATGGATTAGTTTTTTTATATCCAAATATAATTTTTAAAATAAAATACACAATCTTTTTTACTGTAACAATTGAATAATTTGTATGTTGATATTATATTTTTTCTTTATAGGTAGTTTATTGGGTGCAGGATTCTTTTTGAGGAGCTTTATAACAATATGGCAGAAGCAGTATTGATCGATTTCTTTGGTTTGAAATTGAACTCTCAGAGTAATTGTGCTCTACTAAAAACACTGAATGCTGTCCAGTACCTGCATGCCACAAATGCCAAATTCTTTTACATAATGCATTGCTGTAATCTCAGATGTGAAAATGGCGGTGAACATGGTGATAGTGAACTTGAAATGATCAGTAGTTTACCAGCCCTTCCAGTGGGATTTGAGGTTGTAAGTAATTCCAGTATGGCTGCTACCTTATATATAATTAAGCAAAAACTTGATGAAGAAAATTTGAGTAGTATTACAATAATGACAACACTACAGAAGAAAGCATTAATGAAAGTTTTTATTGATCAACTCTTCACTGATGTTTATCATTTTGAGTTTGAAGACTTACCACTAGATTTGGGAGAGAGCCATATAAAAGAATCCATTGAGCTAAACACTGTTACAAACCAAGAATTAGAAGAAATCCAGAATGATATCAAAACATATTTGAGAAGTCTACCAGGACTGAAGGGGGAACTCACCATTCTCACATCTTCCTTGATCCCAGGTATTTTAGGTTATATCCATTTATTTTTCATGTATGCATGTAGTCAACTCTTTAGGCACTCATCTAATCTCTTCTACATCCCTCTTCTCTGCTTAATTTGGTCTCTTTTTAATGGCTTATGTGTATACACGTACACGTACACACACACACACACACACACACACATGCACGCACACATACACAGATATATCTTTTTTGTTTGTTTGTTTTTGTTGTTTTAGGCAGTGGGGTTAAATGACTTGCCCAGGGTCACACAGCTGGTAAGTGTTATGTGTCTGAGGCCGAATTTGAACTCAGGTCCTCCTCAATCCAGGGCCGGTGCTCTATGCACTGCGCCACCTAGCAGCCCCACAGATATATAATCTTCATTTGGTATTCATTCACTTAGTAATTATTTATTGAGCATCACAAAAAATCATTCCTGTCTTTGGTTTTGTTGGTAGAGGGAATACCCAGGTCAGTAAAATTGTGGATATATCAAGAAAAAAAAGGAATGATAAGACACTATAGAAAAGTTCAGAATTTTCTAAACACGTCACCTCCTGTGTACTAACATAGTCACCACTCTAGTTCAGTCCCTCATCATTTATTGCTTCGGTTAGTGCAAGAACCTCCTAACTGGTCTCCCAGCCTCAAATCTCTCCCTTTCCCAATCCATTTTTTCATACACTGTCAGAATAATTTTCTTTCTCTAAAAAGCATTTATTTTCTCTTTCTCCTATCTCTCTAATTGAGAGAGGGGAAAAAAATACCATCTTGAGTCTTATGACCTTTCTGTCAGAAAGTAAGTAGCATTCTTAATTGTTCATCTGGAATTGTGCTTGGTCATTGCATTGATGAGTGATGTCACTTCTTTACTTAGTGTACCCCCATTTTTCTCTCTTGTCTCTAGCATTTAAGGCCCTTCACAACCTGGTCTCAGCTATCTTTCTAGCTTTGTTATGTTTTATTTCTTTTCTCCTACTCTTTGGTTGAGCCAAACTAGACGCTCCACATCCTGTCTCTCTGCTTTTGTGCTGGCTGTCCTTATTCCTGGAATTCACTCTCTTCTCATCTCTGCCTCTTCAAATCTCTTGTTTCCTTCAAGTTTCAATTACATTAAGCATAACTTGATGCCTTTTTCTGATCTACTTAGCTCTCAAACTCTTCCTCCCCAAACTACCTTGTATAGCTTTTGTATATATTCTCTAGATAGTTAAAGAATCAAAAGGTCATGGTTTTAAAGCTGAAAGAGAACTTATAGTATAAAATCCTCATTTAACTGATAAGGAACTTAGGCCAAGAGAGGGTTAATAGAGAGTATAGCTGGAAGTGGCAGAGGTAGGATTTTAATCCTGTGACTCCAAATCCAGTTCACTTTTTAACTGTATAATTACTTGTTTTTATCCCCAGTGCATGGCATATATTTGGCATGTGAATTCTTACTAATTACTGATAGCTTGACTAAGGAGCGAGATGTACAATTTTATCACAGCTCTCTTCTTAGCAAGCAAAATATCATAAACCATATTGCCATTTTACAAATGGAAAATTAACATCATTGGCAAGCATAGAAATAACCTGGAAAATTTTGCTGGTATTAACAAGATATGATTGTTAACATATTTCAAAATAAATATAGTTCACTTGTTAGATTTTATATCTCTGGATATACTGGAACACTTTTCTAGGTGTATTCACTTTTATATGTTTTTTTTCCTAGAATTTAAATCATATATTTGATAAAGATGGCCCCCTTATTAGTGGATGAGTAACAGTAAGCATTCACATTTTTTAAAGCAGTGGTCTTCAAAGTGGAGACTTTAGCTTGACCTCAGTTCATATGTGAACAACCAGTAAGGTGGTAGGAATGTGGATCACATTCTATGTTCCCCACAATAGCCAATTTTGGGCTATGCCACCCTCTTCATCCATGTTGTCTATATTTTTCTTCTGAATATTTCCTGTTTCCTTGCCAGGTTGCTGAAAACAATGTCTGTGTCACCTATAACAATGTATCTGTATACTTAGAGTACTAATGAATATAATGATTTAGTAAGCATGGCCCACAATGCACTTGGATCTATGTGATTTTGTGAGGTATCTTTTTCAGTTATGGCAGCCATTAAAACCAGGTTTCTAAATAAACTGACCTTAAAACAGATCTGTGAAGTGCTTTATACAAAGTGTTAAACAAAAATTTTCGAGACCAATGAAGCATTCATTAATTTTGCTGTCATTAAATTGATAATTTTAAGTGAGATCAAAAAGGGGTTTTATACTTTTAATAAATAAAATATTTTCAGTTTCTGTTTTTGTGTTTATTTTGTAATATACATAATAGCACCTGTATGTAATTTATAAATAAATAAATATACATATACTAGGGGTACTTACACAATTTTTTTTCCACAGATAGTGGTATCAAAAAAACTTTGAGACTACTGGTCTGAAGCATTATCTGACAATTGTTTCCTTCTGTAGAACATAGTATAAAACACCCTCACCTCTCTTTCTTATATAAAAGGCATAACCACACTTATCTGCATCAGAATATCTCCTCTTGTTTGGGTAAAATCAATATACCACTCTTGATTTAGCAAGAGAATAGTTAGTTGATCTCTGATAACATAAACCTGCTTCAAAGGAAAAGAGATAAAGAATTTTATCTTTTTGGGGAGGAGACACTTCCCCTTCTCTGGCTAGAAGGAGATAATAAGGTTCACTAAGATGGATATCAAGGACAAATAAACAAAACCTATTAGTATTAACTGTGTAATTGGCATTCCCTTTTTATTGGCATGCTGTCTCATTAACTCAGCCTTGGAGAACTTCTGTTGATGAGGTCACTGTAGAATCTAGATTTTGAGCTAGACGTATCCTGCTTGTTGCCTAACTTAAACTAAGATCTAGAGAGAATTCTTAATTGACTTGTCAACAGTCACTGATAAGTGACCCTACTAGGGCGCTGTGATTACAATTTCAGGAGTCTTTGTACTGCACCTTGCTGGCTGTGTCAGAGTTCAAAAGATCATTTTGTTCTGTGGTTCCAGATAGTATTCTTATCCACTATTATTTAATGTCACCCTACCTTTCACGCGTTATTCCAAAAAAACTGGACTGCTCTGTGCTCTGAATATGATGAGGCATATTTGGCTGTCCTGGTGTTGGCTTTGCTTGTACTGTTTCTTATTCCTAAAATATCCTTCTTACCCATCTGTAGCTTGTGAATTCTTACCCATCCTCTAAAATCCAGATTGAATGCCACCTCTTTTAAGAAGCCTCTTCTTTGGTGACAGTCTTTCCTCTTGCACTTCACGCTACGCTTTCTAATAATATAAGTAGTAATAATATTACATAACATTGTTTGTCTTATCTCCTTAATAGACTGTATGCTTCATGAGGAGAGAAATATGGAGGACATGATCAGTGGAGCTAGAAACTAAAGAGGAATTAACATAAATTTGGGAAAATAGAACCTGGCAAGGAAAAATAATATTTACATTATCTACTTCTTTGGCTCGGGCTTGGGAAAACTTTGCAAACCATACTGCATATACGTGAACTGTTTTCATTGTTAGAAGTATTTGGGCCCTCAGCACCAGGATTTATATAGCACTTGCATGCCTCTATTCGGGTAACACTATTCTTTACTACCTGTTGTTGGTGTGGGGCATTGGGTCTGAATTTCCATTGCTCAGGCCTCCATCCTATAAAATTGACTTGAAATAAACTATTATAGCTGGGTCAGTTATCCAGTTACCACATGAGGGATAAACTGTTTTCAAAGATTGCCAATATGGTCGTGTATTATAGCAAAGTTGGGAAGATTGGACTAGTTACTGGAAAGCATGTTATCAAGACAAGGATTCTGATTATAGTACTTAAGCTGAGGGTCTGGATGAATTTTTTATGGGATGGTGGAAGAGGTTGTGTAATGATTAAGAAGGCATAGCTTTCTGGAGCCTTCAGGCTTGGCAGCCAGAAGACACATAGTATTGGCTGCTTGATACAGCAGTAGTTACTTTGATGATTTTCAGAAGGCTTCCATTGCCTTTTAAACTAGATCAAACTCAGGCCCATTTGTTTAGCCCAATCCTCCCTAGCTATCCCTATAGACTTAAGAAATCCTTGCTGGTATCTGATCAGTACCACTTATCAATATCATCTGATAGGAGCATTGTAAAGTATTAGTCTTCGTGCATGGAATTTATTTTGAATCTTTTACTGAATATTTTTAACAGATACCTTCATACATGGCTTCACTACCAGGACAGGTGGGATATCCTACCTACCCACTCTCAGTTCTTTCAATCTCTTCAGTAGTACTAAGCGTAGAGATCCAAAAGCTGTTGTTCAAGAAAATCTGCGCAGGTTGGCTCAAGCGGCAGGGTTTGACTCTGAAAAATTTCACCGCATAAAGGTAATTTGTTGCTTCACGGATGAGAAAATTAAAGTAAATTTGATCATGTGATTTCTGATCAGGCTACTTTTGCTTTAGTTTTTCCGCCTATATTCTAAGGACGTTTATTCTTGATTTTCTCCAATAGACATATCAGACCGTATAGATACATAATATTTATCTGCCACTTGGAATGTCTTCTAAAAGCACTGTAGTACCATACTGGTTGCAGGTTAAGCCTACTGGTATATGGCTTCACTGGCTAACCTTTTTGATTTACAAGAGTATTGGGTGTGGTTAAAAACAAAAGGAGTTCATTCCACTAGCTTCAAAAGCAAACAGAACAGTCACTGATGAAAAGATGCCTTTTTACTGACAAAGCCTGGGTCCCTAGAAAGGGAGGAAACAAGCATGTATAAAGCACCTGCTGTGTGCCAAACTAACTGCTTTATAAATATTGCCTCATTTGATCCTCACAACAACCCTGGGATGTAGCTGCTGTTATTGTCTTCATTTTACTGTTGAAGAAACTCAGACAGAAGCTAAGTGACTTATCCGCATCATACAGCTAAGTGTCTAGAGGCTGGATTTGAACTCAGGTCTTCTCGACTCCAGGCACTACACTCTACTCAATGTGCTACTTAGCTTCCTCTGTTTGAATTTTTAACCTTGGGACCTATTGGTTTTCTAATTTTCCTTTAAGTAATATTTATGGATTTTTCATTTGAAAAGTTTTTAAAATTATATTGCTTTTATATTTTTATATCAAGATGTGATAATATGTTGGTCCAAGGGCACCTAGTGTTTATCATCTATAGGAGAGTCAGACATCTCATGGACTTAACAGTTTAATAGTAATCTTAAGATGATAATGTAGCTGTATATTGTGATAATTTTAAAGTTATTAATAATTTCTCTTTTAAAACTTTTTTTCCTTGTTTGCCTTAAATCTTCCCTGTCATTAGACTGATCATGCCAATGGTGTCTGGATAATGGGCAAGAAGGAGCCTGATTCTTATGATGGAATAACAACCAACCAAAGAGGTGCCACCATAGCGGCTCTTGGGGCAGACTGTCTACCTTTGGTTTTTGCAGATCCTGTAAAAAAAGCATGTGGTGTTGCCCATTCTGGTAACTCTATTTCATTACTTATTTCACTGTTGGCTCCTTTTGTCATAGAGTGTTTAAGGTTTGGTGGATATCGGACAGTTGGTTTTGAGGTATATTGGGATAGGAGAAGAAACTTAAGCTAAAGTTGAAAAAATTTAAAATAAATGTAAAGAAAAACTTCTTAATAGCTTGGATCACTTGTCATTCATGGTTTGGGGAAGATAATAAATTCCTGGAGCTTTGTTAGAACAGTATGTAGATTCTCATTTGAGTATGATCTTCAGTCAATCAGTAATGGTATCTTAAGCACCTGCTGCATGCCAGGTACTGAGCTCAAAGCTAGGGTTACAAATAGGATGAATCCAACAATCCTTACACACAAGGAGCTTATATTCTAATATGTGAGACAGCAAGGCATATGTAAGTTTATACAAAACAAATATGAAGAGAATAAATGACATAGTTAAATAAAAGGTGGTTGGAGTGCAGGGGAATCAGTGGTTGAAGGGATCAGGAAAGGTTTCAGGTAGAAGATTGTAATTGAAGAGCATCTTAAAGGAAGAGAGAAATTCTTGTAAGTGGAGGGGAGAAGGAAGAGTATTCCAGGCATAGAGGACAGCAAGTATGAAAACACAGAAGAGGGAGGTGAGGTGTTGTGTGTGAGGAACAAAGAGAAAGCCAGTATGACTGAATCCCAGTGTGAGAGGACAAGTAATGCCCATTGAGGCTGGAAAGGAATGTTGGAGCAAGGCTGTGAAGGGCTTTAAAATTAAAGGAGCTTATGGTTTATCCTAGAGACAGTAGGGTATCATTGGAGTTTATTGAGTAGGGAATGACATGGATAGATATATGCTTAAAGAAATCACTTTGGCAGTGTTGTGTAGGATAGACTGAAGGAGATGATTGAGGCAGAGGAAAAATTTGGCTTTGGTAGTAATCTAGGTAAGAAGCTCATACTGGGATTATAGCTATGTTACTAAAAGAGGAAGTTCTATGCAAAAGATGTGGTGAAGGTAGAAACATCAAGATTTTGCTGCTATATAAATGGAGTAAGATGAATCAAAGAGAAAACCAAAGTTATGATGGGAGCCCAGCAAAGTGGTGGTGCTTCTGACAAAAATTGAGAAGTTTTGAAGTTTGGGTTTGGGGTGAAAGATGATGAGTTATGTTTTGGACATGTTAAATGTCAAGATGCCAATTTTCTTTGTAAAATAAGAGGTGAGATCTTTTGTTGAGAGAAGATAGGAAGGTGGAGGTGTGAGGAAGGTTTCAGGACAGAAGAGGATTGAAAAACTTTGTTGGGGAAGTAGGCAATCAGTTAAGTAAGAATTAAAGGATCTTAAGACAGAGAATATGCCGGAATTACCAAGTCTCTTTTCACCTTTACAAATCAGTCTGTTACTTTGCGCTTCAGAACTTATATCACTGAAAAAAGGAATGTACCTTGTGATGCTTCTCACCTGGTTATAGCAATGGCGTTTGATGGTTTGTAGCCAGATTTGCTAAATAGAGAACATTGCTGGGGAACACAGGTTTACTCTCTATCTCTGTTTGCTGGTGTAGAAGGTGGATCCTATTTGTTGCTTCAGAGGTTCAAATTCAGTTTAATTCAACAAGCATTTATTAAGTACTTTCTACGAAGGCACTTTTCTTAATGTTAAGAATACAAAGAAAAACAGTTACATTCTACTGGCAATTCTTGAGGTTTTAAAATATTTAAGATGTGGACCACATACAGAGAAATAGTTCATATCCAATTCCAAGATGTCCTTGATAGTAAAGTCCTTTCCATAGATATGTAACCAATCAGGTTCTTAAAAAGGAAAGAAAGCGATTTAGCCACAAAATATAAGAAGGCCAGTGAGTTCATTTTTAGCATTTTAGAAGTAGCATTAAAATTTGGACATAGATTTAGTATCTAGGAAATTCACATTCTTTTTTTTTTTTTAACTTTCAAAAGGCTGTAATGTAGTATTGCAGCTATACTCAAGAGTAGACCAAAGTGTGTTATCTATGGCTTTCTGTTCAGTTAAATTTTCTTTTTGAAAAATAAGTGTACTAAAGTCTGAGAGACTAATTGAAGGGCTTATGGAAACTCCCCTGCATTGTCAGAAAATTGTATTTTGGACAGGAGAAGCACTAATTCAGGTCCCTTATTTACATGTTCTATTTTGAAAATAGTCTACAATACCCGCTATATGTTGAATATAAATCAGTATTTTTCTATTTTGAAACATCAGCTTACCATATACAGTTTACAAGGTATGCTTTATGAAGTTAGAGACACTATAGATGTGACCCTTAACAATGGTATATAGCAGGTGTAAAATCTGGATCTGAAAACCCGCGATCACACAGGTTGTAGGAATCCCTGTGAAATAAAATGATATTTTCTGAAACTGCCTCAATAGAGGCCTTGAAATGGTAAGTAAAACTTTGAAATAGAGTCTATATTGAGAGTAGAGTAGATAGTTGTTTTCTTATCCTAAGTTATCTTTTTTTGGAAGTTCTCATAAACAGTTCCATGAATTGAGAGCATTTCTTAAATAGGAAAAAAAGAGTCTGACTAAAAGACTGAAGAAAGGACTAGAAAGTTTTTGTCCCAGATTTAAACATGACTAATATTAAGGCAGTTAGGTGGTGTAGTGGATAGAGTGCTGGGCCTAGAGTGAGGAAGACTCATCTTCTTGAGTTTAAATCTGGCCTCAGACACTTACTAGCTTTGTGACCCTGGAAAAATCAGCTAACCCTGTTTGCCTCAGCACCTCATCTGTAAAATGAGTTGGAGAAGAAAATGGCAAACCACTGCAGTATCTCTGCCAAGAAAACCCCAAACGAGGCTATGAAGAGTTGGCCATGACTGAAGCAACTGAACGACAGCAGTAGTATTAGTTGACGAGCAAAAGCAATTAGTGACATTATAGTCTTCAGTACTGAACCCCACTGTCTTAGTATAGTTTTAGAGGCAGCATCCATCTGAGAATAAGGAAATATGATACATTGGAATAAAAAGCAGAGGTAATGTAAATAGCATGGAAATTATGCATACATGTAATTCCTCTTAAATTTTTTTCCTGGGTCCTGTAATGGTGATTATCTGTTTTCAGTGTACTGTAGTAAATAGACTATAATTAGAGTACATATATTACCACAGTACTTCATTTCTGTCAAATCATCACGTTCAGTGAATCTATGAAAGATGTAGCTTCTTGTAGCTGAGTCTGCACACCTGCTTGTGCACGCAGCATGCTTACCTATAAAATTCAGTTGACTGTTCATTATTTCTTTTATATTGCATAAAAACAGGCAGTGTGGGGGTAGTGGGTAGAGAACTGACTTAGAAGCCAGGAAGACCGGGATTTAATTCCAGCCTCTGACACATATAATGACCCTGGACGAGTCTATCACTAAACCTCTCAATACTTTAGACCAACATTTGGCCTGTTTTTGTAAGAATTAAGAATGGTTTTTATATTTTTAAATACAAAAGAACTTTATTTAAGCAGAGAAGGTATGAATCTGCACTTTCATTGATAGAGGGAGTTTTCTCATTTATGATTTCCCTATAAGGAATCACAGGTCAATTCCTAACCCATTCTCTATTGTATAAAACCCTGCCTTATGAAATCATCTTCTGTCTTAGACTCTGTGGATTGGAAGAAGGGACCTCTGAGATCATCTTGTTAATTTCCTTGCCTCTAGGTAGAACTCCAACTATAATGCCCAATACACTGCTGTGCACATATTTGGCATTTATTAAACATCTGCTGGTGGTCCTGGTCAATCGGATCATTCTTATTGTCAGGGAATCCATAGTCTCCCATCAAAAATTATTTTGGCATTAACCAGCTCATATAGTTAACCTCTTCAAAAGTCTAATATTATTCATTCTTCCTTCTTTGTTCAGTTCTTCCTATTCCATTCTAAATAGAAAATAATTACCTTATATTTTTTAAGAACCATCAGATCATCCCATTCTTACTGATAACATATGTGTGTTTATTTAATATTCTCTTTCTCTTAAGTTCTATTCTGATGGCTCATTGTGCTGTACTCTCCCTATTACTGAGCTCACGGAGCTCTTGTAGGCTCTACCAACCTGGGAAGGCACTTCTGAACTCTGTGGCTATCATCCAGTAATGAGACTAGCTAAATTTGGAGAGGCCAGTCACCATAAATCTGGCCGTAGCTTTTCACGAAGAACTTCTCAGGTGTAGAAGGGTTTCTGCCTGCAGTGGTTGATGAAATCAGTGATCCCCAAAGTAATTAAATGTGATAAGTAACTTGTTTTCATTTTCCTCCCCTTGAATCTTGTTACATTTCTGTCCTTAATGTTGTGACCCAGTACAGATCCTCCTTAGCCCTAAGCAAAGTTTAGAAGATTGCTTTCGTTGTGCTTATGCATTCTAGTCTTGGTGTTATATTGGAATATGATAGCTTTTTCAAGAACTAGCACTGTGGAGTTGACTCAGTATTACAGTAATGTGAAAAATACTGTTCAAACCATAATTGTCCAGCATTTCCAAATTTTGACTGTTTTCCCCTTACTCTTGTCTAGGATGGAAGGGTACGTTGTTAGGAGTTGCTATGGCTACTGTCAATGCTCTGGTAGCAGAATATGGCTGTCGCCTGGAAGATATTCTTGTTGTAATGGGCCCTTCAGTGGGACCTTGTTGTTTTACTCTTCCGAGAGATTCAGCAAAGGCCTTTTATAATCTTGACCCTCAATGTGTAAGACTAGTTGATTCACCAAATCCCTATGTTGACATACGTAAAGCCACTAGGTAAGTTTGATTTCTTTTCTGTAGAACACAAAATACCAGCCTTTTCATTATAAGACCAAAATGATATCCCTGAGACACTCAGGATGCTGACATCAACTAGCTGAGAACCCAGTTACATCAAAAATCTAGATAAAAGATGAAACCTGTTCTAGTGAAACAATATAGAAATTTTCCTTAGCCTTTTTTTGATTTGAAAGGAAAAAGAGAATATTTGGTATGTGATCTAATCATTTTTAAAAGTCCTAGGTTGACAGAAAGTTCAAAGCTTGCTTTTAATCATGAGTAATACATAGGCTAAAGTTTTCCAAAGATGGTGAGACATTAAGCTGATTTATTTAAGTAATGCAGTACATAACCAGAGAACACTTTTATTATCAGCTGGGTAGAAGACTGTGGTTCTTTAGTTTAAAATAACTAGGATGATATAAAACCTATTACCTTTAAAGGTATTTTTCTGGAGGCTTGCTATTTGAATTTTTTTGAGTTTTATTATTAATGCCTCTAGAAAACTGGGTGTGATTGCCCATAGTGGCATTGATTTTGTCTATGTTTGGTTCTGTTCTTTTGCTTCCAGAAGCAAAGTGAACTGCAAAGAGTTTTTAATTTTTTTATACAACTATAAAAGAATACAACTTATTTCTACATATGACTTTAAGAACCAACCTTATTACTTTGTAGCCTTGTATATAATATAATACTTTGTTAACTATTTTTCTTATTAAAAATCCAGAGAGAATAAGGAGAAAAGAGGGCCAGATGATATTTTTAAAAACAATTCTAAAATGTTTGAATTCAGTCTAATGAGTGAGCTTGCATAAAAATACCTTTAATTTGCTTTAGAAGTATCTCTTTCCATCCTTTTTGTTGTTTGCAAAGCTTTCTACTTAAACCAAGTCTATAGAGTACAATATGGAAGGTTGCCCTGTTATCTTATTAATTAAGGATATAGAACCCATTTGCAGAATAGGCCAGGTATCATAATTGAAATATAATTAATTTCCTTTTTGGTTTGTAGATCTTTACTAGAACAGTCTCATACCAAAATCAACCCCCCCCCAGCAGAATAATGTCCTATACACATTATTCTGGTTACTTGATTATTGACATACAAATTGTTGATGTCTTTCTTTGTTTCTTATTTTAAGAATTCTTTTAGAACGAGGAGGAATTCTTCCTCAGAATATTCAAGGTGATTCTAAGTCTGACCAGAACCCAAATCTTGATCTTTGTACATCCTGTCATCCTGATATGTTCTTCTCTCATGTCCGGGACGGCATTAATTTTGGGTCACAAATAGGCTTCATATTAATTAGAGAGTAAATATGGTAAGTTCTTTTTCTTTTTACCAAACCCGATTAGAAAGCATTAAAAGACTTTGTGAATTAGGTTTTTCACAATAGGTTACATCCCTAATAATTGCATAACAAATTTCCTTTTATACTTGTGGGGTATTCAGAAGTTTATTTGGAGTCAACTTCTATATAGAAAGATTGTAGTGACGTACTTATTCTTGTTTTCTCTAAGATGATCTTCCTTGAAGGACAACTGCCTCTTTTCTTGGTTAATAGATTATAACAATAATAATAATAACCCCCTTTCTGTAGTGCTTTAAGGTTTCCAAATCACTTCCCTCTTTACTGAGCTTGGTAGTGCAAGTACTGTTATGCATCAATGTTACATGACTTATTCATGCTCACACAATTCACATGCATCAGGAGGCACAGTTCAGATTCAGGTCTTTGCTCTTGATGCTGCCTTTTGTGGGAAGGGTATTAAATCTGTAGTCCAAGCCTCTGTTCCTGCCTGTGGCACCTTGGGAAAACCGCTTATCCTCCGCAGATCTCAGTCTCTTCCTCTGTAAAGAAAAGGGAGCTGGCCTAGGTGGCCTCTAGGGTCCCTTTCAGCTTTTACTGAAACGCTCTCTACTGCCTGTCTCAAGACTGGGACAGAAGCTGTGGCTTTTAAAATCCCATGTGAATGCTCAAGAACGGCTTGTAAAACTTAGCTTGTATTTCCTGGATGTTAGCCTCTTATTCTTGTTTCTTTAAATGTACTGCATATCTTTTTAATGTGTTTTGAAGACTTAAAAAAATATGTATGTGAAGGTAGAAGGTGTTAGAAACTTGACTTGAGACAAGGAAATAGCAGCTGATATAGTTGGAAAAGCACTGACCCAAGAGTCTGAAAGCCTGAGTTTTAGTCTGTGTGCTGTTGTCAATGTGCTTAGTACTTTTTAGCAAGTCTCTGAACAACTCTGAAGCTTTGATTTCCTCCTCTGTAAATAAAATGAAGGGGCTGTATTGGGTGATACATAAGGTACTCTTTGGCTCTAAAGTCTTTGATACTTGAGCTGTGAATAAATATGTCAATAGTCATGAGGGGAGAAGCTGAAGAATATTGAATTCTTCTCATATACATTTTGTCATTCTGAAAATCTTGCTTGGCCATATGTGGCATTTTGTTGACTATGTTAGGCTACTCAGGTACTGTTGTAATCTTTTTTTGGGAGGATTTAGGAGTTCAGCATAAATTAAAAAAAATAAATAGTACTGCAGTCCTGAGTGAAATTAGACTGGCAGTCATTAGTGAGATTTTGAAGAGCAAGTACAACATTGAAAACATGAAAAAAGTTGCTCCACTAATAGTATGTATCAGAGTCCAAAATTAATTTTTTTCCTGTAGTCTGAGGATTAAGATATCTCATATTTTTAAAATCAGTTGTTAAAAATGTTTTTATATTAATGGCTCACTTAATTTATTTGGGGCATATAGTAATGAGTATATTATGCCATTACATTAAATGTTGACATCAGGAAGTAAAATTTGTTGAAACTGTAAATTTCTCATTTTTTGAGTTTGTTTATCTTTCTGTTTATTTAATGGAAGGAATAATCTTTTCAACTTTTCATTAAAATACTAGACTGTCTGGTGTGCAAACTAAGTTAGTACTCAGCCAGATTTACATCAACTATTTGTAGGTAATACAAGAAATTAATTTTGTTTTTAAAGTTAGTTATCTGTTGGAGAAACACGTTGAAACTCACAGAAATGTAGCATCATTGTGACTGCATTGATGGTTGTTCTTACCAACAAATAGCAAATTCCAGTGAATAGCATTCCATTCTTATTCCACCACTCCTATATTTTTAGTTATGTTGTGAAGCCAAAAGATAATCACCGTTGCAAATATGCATCAGTATTTTTCTCCATAGTAACTTTTAATAATGCAAATATTTTGATATGCTACTTGTGTTTCCTCTTTATTGTGGACTTTATAAATACGTTATTGATACATGCTGCCAGAAAGTATACTACTAGTAGGCTTTTTCCTGCTATTCTAAGCAATAACTTTTTAAATATTTATTACATTGCATTTTACAGGTACATGCCGGAATTGCTTGCCTGGGCTGTTTCCTGGACACTTATAGACTGGTTCCAGTATTCCCGTGGTTCTGAGGTCTCATCAATGTGAATATTCTTTCCAGTGATGCAGATTATGACTTCTCCATGCCTGCCCTTATTGAGATTCTAATCCATATATTCCTATAAATTCAGGATTAGGGGCCTGACAGATGTTCTTCTGGGTATAACATATACCTGTTTTGTTTTGTTTTGTTTTGTTTTTGCTACATGACACACCCATGTTTTTCAGCTAAACACCTCTCCGATAACCTCCTTTATGCCCTTTCTCGTGTATAATTCCTTATTTGTGAAGTGTCACATTGCCCTTGCATACCATGTATCTCTCCATTTCTCTTTTCTTTGTGTGATGCTCTGCTGTAATTCCTTGGAGAATATAGTATTTCATAACTCACAATCATATATCACCAGACAGTGAACTTTTGTTTCAGAAAGAAATTTGGAGTCATTAAAAAACTTTGCTGTTTCCCAGAGGAAATCTAGCCTAATCTCCTTATCCTGTCAAATTCTGAGCCCAGGTCATTTTCTGTTTGTGGTATTTGTCCAAGGTATGTACTGATGGAAATTCTCTATAGGTTGTTATCTAACTTCATATCATGGTTTGGACAATAGGCATTCATCAACTGTTTGAGTTTTTTCTTTATGTTATGCCATACTTTTAAAAATGATTATGGCTTTAGTGTAGGAGGCTGTGTGATATTCCACTATTTGATTTAGTCAGCCCACTGTCATCTCCAAATGAGCATCTCCAGGACCTAATCATGTCGAGAATCCATCTATGTCTTTGACTCTACTAGATCTCCTCAGTGACAATTATGTACATCTTTGTCAAGAACATGTCTTATGACCCATCTGGTATTTGTAATCAGAGAGTTGTTGATAATGTTTTCTCTTATATCTTAAGTGCTTTTGATGTACATATAAGAGACAGCCTGTTAGAAGAGAGCCTTTACTGTATTAAATGCTTGTCAGTAAGTTCAGTGGAATCTTGTATTCTCTTTACTTTTTAGTCAGTTTTGACATTGTAAATCTCTGCTGTGGAATGTCATTTGCAAAAGCCTTACTGTTCCTTTCTCAATGAATGTGTATATTATTATCATAAAAATTTTCTTTGGATGGGGAAAGTAGGCTTATGGATCGATAGTTAATGATATTCACTTGATCACTATTTCAGGGGCAGGGGAAGTAATAATAAGGTTCTGGTTTTATCCTTAAGTGTCCTTAGGATGACTTTGCTTATTTGGGTCTTCCCTATAAGAAAAAAATTTAGCCTTTTGATTTATGTAAGGTTAAATGGTTGAAAAATAAGTTATCTATCTTCAATGAAATTCGTATTTTCATTATGCTTTTGAACCAAATAAATTTATTTTATTAATTTTAGAACTGGTATGAAGTCAGTATGATCTAGAAGAAAGAAAGAATATAAGGTTGGGCGGGGTGCTTATTAAAAGCTTACAAAGCATGTATTAAAGTGCTGGGGATATAAATAGAAAAGTGAGATACCCACTGCTTTCCAGGAACCCACCTTGTAATAGGAGAAGGAAGCACATAGAGGAGATTTCATCTGCAAGTGGAAAAGCCCCATGCCTTTGGTAATTAATGTTGTTTAAAGTGTTTAATGTTATTCCCCTTGATAAAACCATATCTGTTTTGATGCTAAACCATTTCACCATGATAAGGATTTCAGTGACAAGAACTTTCCTTTCTGGGTGTGCTTTACTATACAGACTAGCCTACACCTTCGCATGATAAAGCTTTGAGATTGCTTTCATTAATTCTTGTGTGCATTAGGCAGCATGGTATAGTGGAAAGAACTTGGGACTTAGGAGTCAGGAGATCTGACTTCAAGCTACTAGTTTAATTACCTGCATAATTTTAGACAAAGCATGTAATCTTTTTAAACCTCAAATTCCCCATCTGTAAAATGGGGATAATGTTTTTATTGCCTACCTCCTAGGTTTTGAGGATCAAATGTAAATTACTTTGTAACTGTAAAGTATTGTGTTGATATTAACTATTATCATTAATTGTTATAGATTATTTCAAATGAGTCTCTTCCTAGTCCTTCTGAAGCCTTCTCAGATTTTCTTCTATCCTGCATTCCTCTTCAACCCTACCAAGCAAAATTCAATTTTCCCCTCTTTTGGAATTTCTTAGTACTTTATATTTCTCACATGCACTTATCATGATCTACTTTATATGTAATTATTTGTGTTCGTGTCCTTTCTCTGTTGGATTGTCAACATCTTTAGATTTCCCACAGGACCTAACACAGCATGTTGCACATACTTGGAATAAGCTGTCAGAAAATGTTTGCCTAATAATTAATAATTAATTTTAGGAAAGTATCTTAGACATAACATATGCGTGTTTATTATGTTTTGTCACACAACATTTTGAAAGTACCATCATGAGCTTCCATAATCCTTAGATTTGATCACCTCTTTGTACGCACAGCACTTTTAAAAATAACTGAGTTATGAAATTTTGTAGGCAATTAATTGTTTGTTACATCTTGCATTTTAAAATAACCTGAAAAAGTCTTGTGTTAATACAATGATACCTTAGTTTACTCTTTCTTTTCCTTCCAGTTCAGCAAGAAGTCGTTTATTTAGTAAAAATACTTGATATATTTGGCTCAACTGAGGGAAAATATGACTCACAAATCATATTTTGCCAATGCAGATAAGCATGAATTGACTGTGATATAAAATCATGGGATCGTAGAATATATTTTTGCTTTGGTTTTGAGGAGAAAGTACTGCATCAACAGTGACTGCTAAAAAGACTTACTTCATGTTTAGAAAGTCACACTTTAGTACAGCCTGGAGAACGAGGCCTGCCATTGTGTATGCTTATTTCTTTCTGGAGGACATCATTGTTGCTTTCAGAAAGTTGTTTCCTGTATGTGAATGTTAATGTTGTTACTGGCAGATATTTGTCCTGTCATCTTTCACCTCCTCACCTTTGCTTGCTCTCCCTTTTGACAGTAATGTACTTCCTCCTCAACTCTGCTGCTCAGAATTCCTCACTGAACGCTTCTTCCAGCTCCCATTAGGAACCTTTCCTTATTCCCCCGCTGTTGATGCTCGCTCCTTCTTCCTCAGGTTGCCCTGTATGCTTATCTGTTTGCATGCTGTATCACTTCCCCAGGAGAGTGTAAGCTCTTTAAGAGCAGGGACTGGTTTTCATTGTGTTTTCATGTTTCTAGCAAGTAGCAGAGTATCTTGTACAGGTGCTTCATAAATGTCTATAGCATTGGAAAGAGGAAATGCTCTGGTGGCAGATTTAGACTGAGGAGTAAGTAAAATGTGTGTGTCCATGAAATGATTGAGTTTGGAAGGAGTGTTGACTATTATGAGTAGCACGAAGTCTCTTATATAACTTACATTTTATGTTCTAAAAACAAGTGTAGTGGTTAATTTTTCTGTACTTAATATTATATAATATGTAAAAGGAAAGGTGGCCTTATCACCAGGAGTCAATATAAATGTAATGCTGCTATGATTTCTTTTTGTAAGTTTGGAACAAATTCTTTCTTTTTTCATTTTCACCTTTGTATTTTGTTACTTGACATCTCTCATGAAACCATTCTCTATTTTAAATAAACTTTAAATTAAATTAAGCCCTCTAAAGTGTTTTATGTTCAAACAAATATATTATTCAATGCTTTTTTTTTTTATTAGCACTAAACATACTATTTGTTTCTGGGCAAGTCACTCAACCTCTCAATTTCTGTCACTCAGATTCTAAAATGTAAAACATTTGCTGATCTGCATTGGTGAAGGTAGGTTCTTCATGGAGTATTCTCTATACCAATGAAATTACAGGACCAGACCAAAGGGAAGAAATTACGTTCATGCAGTTTTCCTTCAAAAATTTCTAAACATGTATGTCTCTATTAAGGACTTAACCAAAAGAAGTGAAGTCAAAATTATTAGAAACTCTGTAACTGCAAGTCACTATAAGTCAATGCTGTGGTCATCTAGGTTCTAGCAGTTTAGGATTTACAAAATATGATGTGTGGGTTCTGTCACAAACAGCTTCCCTTGAGGTCCTGGGTATTAGTGATTTGAGAAACGTTTAGTAGTGTTGGAACAGAGTGGGTAAGAAGCTACAGAATATAGGCCCACCATAGGCTAAAGAATATCTGTAATGTCTTTGATCTTAAAATATCCCAGAAACTTGATTTTTGGCTTCCATAAAGGGGTCAAGTCTGAATTCTATTTCTAGAAAATTCCTTCATTCTCTGCCACATTGGATTCATGCAATCTTAAGAGTTATAATTGACCGTAGAGGTCATCTAGTATAATCTTTTACTCTCCTATTACATCTGACAGGTAATCATTCAACCTGTGCTTTAATAATTCTGGTAATAGAGAACCCATGGTGATACAGCTCATATTTATCATTATCTCACAAGACAGTCCATTCCATTTTTGGATGACCTAAATTGTCAGAAAAATTTTCCTAATTCTTCAAAACTTTAATGGATCTGAGCTTTCATCAGCATAGATATTCTAACAGTATAGCTCATATCCTTCCAAAGGAAGTCTTTCCCAGTCCTTAATTCCTGTACCTTCCTGTGATGATCATTTCCTGTTTATCCTCTATGCACCTTGTTTGTACATAGATGTTTTCACGTTGTCTCACTCATTAGGTTATGAGCTCCTGGAGAACAGGGATTGCCTTTTGCCTTTTGTGGTGTACCCAGCACTTAGCACAGTGCCTGGCACATAGCAGATGCTTAAATACTTACTGACTTGTCTCTTTCATCTTATGATTCTTGTCCACATTCTTCCATAAATCTTGATATTAAGGGCCCATCCAAAGTGCTAGGCGCCTTCCTAGGTGCCTGAATGTAGTATCATTCAGGGTTCTCTGCAGCATAATGGCCATCTAGCTCACTTCCCTTTTAAGTCACATGTCTCTTGGATGACATCTCTTACCCAACTTCGTGCAAGCAAGTCAACCATTGTTAATGAGTTGTGGCCTAGTTCTGCCAGTGTAGCTTAGTTTCCCTTAGTTGACTCAAAATACTGATTCTCTGGAGACAGTGTTGCTCTATTGCTTGTAGCCATAGAACATCACCAGAAGATGCAAAAAATATGAATGTCGGAAGTTATAGAGAGGCCCAAAACCATTAATACCGAGAAAAAGCCAATTGGATTTAGTAATTAATAGATAATTGGCCCAGATACTTGACCAGCAAATCACTATGTTTGATACAAAGGTAGGGTACTGTTCTGCTGAATCAATGTGGTGCAGAGACACAGACACAGAGAGTTGAAGGAGAAAATAACATAGGAAATGATAGCTTCATTCAAGTGGCAGGATCAGAAGTCACATTGCAGGAGGTTGAAAATTGAGTGGGAGATGAAAAAATGGAGATGAGCAGATGGCCTTAAGGAGATGTCTGTGAAAGGATGGAAGAATATAGGATGATAGCTTGAGGGGGATGGCAGAGTCCCATAAACGTGACTCATATTTAGAATTGAATTGCGTCTTTCTTAGCATCTCTACATGCTTTTCACCCCTTTGTCATGCAAAACAGGGTTGCTCAGGATTGAAAAGACCATCAGAATGTTTTTCTTCATCTCATTGGCTACCTTGTCCAAAGAATCTCCTGTGTCACAACCCTGCTGATGATAAGTCTCTCCTTACTAATCCAAGCTTGTCCTCAAAGGGCAGAAGGATGGGACCGCACTCAAGAACTTCCAGTACTTGGTGGAACTTGCCAGAGTTCTTGTGTCAGCCTCATAGAGCCATGATCACCTCCAGGTCACAGTGAATTGTCAAAGGAGGACTTTGTGTGGCCACAAAACAAAAAATCGGTGTCCCTTAATATCAGTCCATTGGTTTCCTTATATCTTTTGTTTTTGGTTTTTGCTGGGCAGTGGGGTGAAGTGACTTGCCCGAGGTCACACAGCTAGTAGGTGTCAAGTGTCTGAGGCCACATTTGAACTCAGGTCCTCCTGACTCCGGGGCTGGTGCTTTCTCCGCTGTGCCACCTAGCTGCCCCTCCTTGTATCTTTTGAAACCATAGTGGATGAATCTATTCCCTCTTTCACATGGCAGCCCTTCTTGTACAGGGTGTTCTAAAAAGTCTTAGTGCAATCTTAAGCTGTATTAAGCTCATATAAGTTGTATTTAAAGATTGTTTTCATGTACTGCCCATGTCTTTCTCTGGCTTAACATTCTCAGCTCCTTTGTGTCTCACATGACAACAGCTTCAAAATGACCCTTAACTCTTGTCATCCTCTAACTGATGTACTTTATTTTGTTAATGTTCTCTTGAAAATGAGCCCAGTGTCAGATGTCTGACAAGTACACTGTCCCTGCTGTGTCCTTCACCATTGTCTCTATTTAAGGCCATCTAAAATTGCATTAGTAGCCATGTCCTGCTATTAACTTGTCTTAAGCTTATAGTCAATTAAAACCCTTTGGTCCTTTTTACAAACAGTTGGTAGTGGGTTCCTGTCAACTTTCTGGGTATCTTCTAACAGGCACTGGTTAATAGACTGTCAGACGCTTTTGTTCTAATTTGAAATATGATTTAACAACTCTCTCTTCTCTGTCTTTCCAGCTCTCTATCTCTGATTCTAAATATCTCTGTGTCTATCTCTGTACCTCTGTGTCTGTGTCTGTCTCTCTTTGGCCATATGCACTTCTGCACAGGCTACCTTTAAAGAGATAATCATAATTTCTCAAATATCACTCCATCAATTGTAATCAAATTCTAGAAGTCTAAATTCTGCTCAAAACAAAATGAATAAAATCCAGTGTTTATGATTACCAATAAGTTGCTTATTTAAAGGACTTTATATATGAAAAGCAAATAAGGACCAGAAGAAAAGTACTGATTAATGAAGGAATGTTCATTTTAATAGGATCCTGGCTTTATATGGGGCTTTCAGTTGCCCTAAAGCTAGAAATCTAGAAAAAAGTTGAACCATGACTAAAGTGAGTATGTAAATATGTTAGAGTTCATTCAACTAATTGAATTTACATTTATTTATGACCTAAAATCTCTGCTCTGGTGAATAATATCTAGAGAATTTTACTGACTGCATGCTAAACAGAAATAGTCTCATCCTATCTATTCTAGAGCATTCATCAAAACATCTTTGTTTTGTTACATAACATTTTTCACAAAGATATTTGATCTGGTATCATGTTCTCAAATAGAATCCTTGCACATATTTGCCTCTCTGTCAAAATATATTTATGGGGCCACTAGAGGGCGCAGTGGATAGAGCACCGACCTTTGAATCAGGATGAGTTCAAATGCAGCCTTAGACCAAACACTTGACACTTACTAGCTGTGTGACCCTGTGCAAGTCACTTAACCCCAGTTGCAAAAAAAATTTTTTAATATCATGTGTATATGTACACATATGCATATGTGTACATGTACACATATGTATGTGTATATATTTATATATTACAGAAACCTAAGTAATTCTTTATAAATCTTTATGAATGTTCTGTTTCTGTAGGCAGCTATTCAAAATGATCTAATTATAAGTATTCTCGATTTGTGGTACTATGGACTTTTATCAGAAGAATCTTTGTTTAAAGTCTATGATTATTGGGTTAATAATAGCATTTATCTAGGACATTTATTAGGCTACAAAAACGAAAACACAATTTTTTAAAAGTAGCCTAGATAGAGAGCATTCAACTTAACTGTTGATTGAATCAGTATTGAGTAGTAAAACAAGTCCGGAGATGGCATATATGTTTGTTGTCTGGAGACCAATCGAACTAAACATAGAAAGTTGAATCACCAGACTGATGACAAAGTGATAGGTGTTTCAACTATGGCAATTCATGAAGACTGTCAACTGAAACGGAATTTGTAATCTGCATCGTAGAAGAAGTCTAATGAAATCAGAGGCTTGAAGTATTGAAGTAATCACTTTCATGTGAAATGTGTATCTATGTCTGCAGATAGAAATGTGTATATACCTAAATATCTTAATCATATTGTACAGGCATATATTTAGATATTTGTGTATGTATGTATACATGCATATGTATTTATATCTTTGCATGTACAACTCTGAGGGCTAGCCACCAACACTGTAGTGCCTCACACCTCTCCGCAGGGAGTATGGACATCTGCTTACCTATGTCCACTTTCTGAGCTAGTCGACTCTTTCCAGCCTGCTCTCACACAGTCTAGGTTCCCAGAGATGGGCCATCAGAACATAGATACACTCACATTCTCTGAGGTTCACAGGAATAGCCCTGTTATGGGGGAATATGCTTCCCATTACTCACAACTTTAGCTCTTAAGCCCCCATCAATGGGCTTTCATTTACACAAACCACTCACAATGATGACGCATTTAGATCTTAAATATTACCATTTACTAAGCACTAAGTAAATCCATAAGCATTTATTAAGTGTTTACTGTATGTCAAGCATTGTGCTAAGTGCTCAGGAAGAGAAATAATAATAACATCACAGGTATTTATATATTAAAGCAAAAGCAGGAATAATAAGTGCATTACAATCTACACATAAATGTAGGTCACACTGTCCCACCAGTACACTCTGTGCGGGAGATTAGTCACATATTTATAGAAACTACCCAATGAAGCACATTAGTGAGGAAAA